GCGTCTCACCCAGTCTTCTTGCTGGGGTAAACAACCTCCATAGAACAAATCTTTCATCAGAAGTCCTGTTTCCCAGACATTTGATCCTACTTTCTTCTGGATTCTCCTGAGATAAATGTTGCCCCAGTGCTGGGTAATGTGGAGGGTTCAGCTGTGTGCTTCACAGACTCAGCCCCTCAGTATGCCCTGGGATGGTAATGTCTGTCTGAGACAAAAAGGCCTTTTTTTTTTGGTTGTTCATTTCAGATTTCTGAGTTGCTGTACTGCTCCACATCTGCCCAACAGGTTGTCTCTTGTTTTGTCCTACTGCAGCTGATTGTACCTATATCTAGGCACAGCTTTGCTTCCCTCCTTATTGAATTACATCCTATTTTTCAGACCTTTCATCTGTCACATCAAGATGATTTTTAATTCTAATCCTGTTCTCTCACATCCTTGTAGCTCATCTCAGCTTGGTGCCATCTGCATACTTAATAAGGATGCTTGTTATTATATCATCCACTGGTTAATAAAAAAACAGTGAATGAAATGGGAGCAGGCTGGAGCCCTGTTGAACCCTACCCATTCCTCCTTATATTTTGCCAGCGACACCTTTCTGAGTACAGTCTTCCTACCAGCTTTGCCTCCTTCCCTCAGAGGGACTGTCAAGGTCACGTTTCCTTGGCTTCCTTCTTGTAACGTGAGGTGAAGCAGTACCAAAGCTCCAACCAAAGTCAAGATGTAAGACTTCTGCTTTGCCTCTATCTGCAAGCCCTGTTGCACGATGAAATTAGGTCAATTTGATATGATTTGCTCCTGGCAAATCAGCACTGGCTGTTCCTCTTCTCTTTGTTGTTTCCTAGGTGCTGATGATTAGTTAGCTTAATTATTTGTTCCAGTGCTTTTCCAGGAACCGAAATTGAGCTGACTGGCCATAATAACTGCCTTGCTCCTCATTTCCCCTTTCTGCAGCCAGGCAGGGAGCTGCTCTGTAAGGAGCCTTGTGGCTCATGATGGCCCCTCCTAGGCCAGCCCCTTCCCAGGGCTCTTCTGCAGTGGTGCCAAAGCAATACTTTCCTTACCCGTCCTTTGACTACTGCTTTAGAGCTGGAATACTCTGATCATCTTCCCTTTCTGTTCTAGTTATGCCTCCTTTGCATGCCTTTCTCAACTTTATCCTTACTTGTATGTGCTAAACATTTGTGCCCATCCTTAGTCATTTGCACATCTCAGTTTTCTGTTGGCTTCCTCCTTGTCTGTGAGGCCACTGCAGATTTAATGACTTGGCAAGCTCACTTTGCACTGTTTCTTAACCTTCCTTTGCACTGGTACGACTTCATGTTTTTGCCATTGTGTTGTTTTATTTTTTCTGCAAAAAATCTCAGCACTCTTGAAAGCATTTGTTCTGGAACTCGTTTCCCTCAGATCTCTCTTACCAGTCTGCTGGGTTACGTGGGAATATCCATGATGCTCATAAGCAAATCCTCTTAATGGAAAAGTGTAGAAAACAAGACTTTCAATGAAATTGCAGGCTTCACCCTCTTCCAAATAGACTTTCCCAACCTGTGTATACTTCTTGTTTTCTCTTTGTCTCTTAGCAGAATTAAGTGCCACAAGCCAAATTCTGACCTCATTTACACCAGTAAAATGTAAGTCTGTTCCAGAAAACAGCTAAAGTTGTTTTGGGCTTACAGTGATGAAAATGAGAGCGGAATCTGCCTCATTAATCCCCCAATCCACAGAAAGTTAATGAATCCAAGAGGAAATAGCTCTTCAGAAGGGAGCCCTGGAAAGAATTAGCGACGGACTTAATGGGATTATGGGAGAAAAATGCTTTAACAAATCCAAATCAATCCTCTCTTCAAAATAGTCATAGTGCCAAAATAAATAAAAACACTGTTTTGGGAAGGAAAAGGTTAAAAAGCTATGAAAATAAAATCTCTCAGCCTGTTCTGATGATAGTAGTCCCGCAGAATGAGCGCAACCCAGAAAGGCTGAGTCAGCAATACCCTACCTGCTGCTTCATGTTGGGCTGTGGGACTCGGTGGGAAGAAACTCAAATCTCCCACTTTAACCAAGGGGTCCTTCTGCAATTTCAGGCTCAATGAAAGACACATTGAGATCAGTCAGCATTACAAATAGGGATGGATGGAACAGGTCTGGCGGCTAGAAACCTTTCTCCTTGTCGTCTAGCCAGTCGGACATTCAGCCTCCAGAGCCATTCCTCCAGTCTGTGCTTAGGCTTTTTATTCTGTTAATTACCATCTTCTTGCCATTCCTCCTCAATACTGTGTATGGCACCAGAGCTGGATTTGCCACAGATAGGCATAGAAGACCCTGCTTCTGTGGTGTTATGGGATGTTTCAGTTGATGGCCTGCCTTTGTGCAATCAAGTAGAAGGGGGAAATATTCTGAGCAACTGGCCAGAGCCAGCCTCTTCCAGCCAGGCAGGCACATTCGTGTGCTGATAGAAAGAAAAGGAAGGAGCAAAAGGCTCATCCTGTGCCTATTTGTAACAGCTGAAGGCAACATGAGCTGCTACCCACGTAAATGCACCGACTTCTTTCATCTCCCCCCAGCGAGGTGGCTTTCTCCATTTGCCCAGCTACTCTAGTCAACCTGAATGAAGGGCTAGGACAAAGTAATTAAAGCATGGTCTCCTCTGTTTATATCCAGGAGCACACCATTACCAAAGGCAATCCTGCATTCAGGATGCTGACTTTCTATTCTGATAGTCTGATGATCTTTGAGGAAGAGCTGGGCTTTATGTACAGATCCCCAGTTTCCAAGGAAAGCTGGGCTAAACGAAAGCATTCAGAGGGGAAACACAAGACTGTGGGAGGTCTACAAAGTCCTTCCTATGGTGAGAGATTTCAGAGGACTGATATATTTTATGTAATTTAGAAGTTATAAGGTTGCTTGATATCAGCAAAAAAGAGCTGTGGTAGAAAAGAGATTTCTAACTGGGGACTTCAATTTAGAGAAAAACGTTGAGCAATTCAGTGGTTAGAAGTAGAGAAAGACATGTGCAGACCGAAAAAATTTGCACTTCTTGTAGGAGAATAGTTAACCAGAGAAATGTCTTTTCTAGCACCCTGGTAGACCCTCCAGATCTTTCAGTCTTCCAGCCAAGAAGAGGTGGCTTTCTACCAGATACATGGCAGCTCAAAGGGAAGTCCTGGGTCTGCTTCAGAAATGACTGGCAAGATTCCCTGAATCCCTTACGCAATAGGTTACACTTGATGATTGTAATGGTCTCATGCTGACCTTAAACAATGAATTTCTGACATTCAGCTGCTCTCAAGTGTAGCGTTTTATTATATAGCAGTTTGGGATCAAAAATAGCTGTAATCAGTGAATTAAACAGAAAAATTAGCAATGTAGTTGCTTCATCACCCCTTGTGCTCCTTAATTTGATCGTTTATGTTATGTCCTTAGATTTTTTAGTGTTCTGCAGGACTGTGTTTTGGACACAGAATCACATTACAGGGGTAATTGGGAGGCAGCTGGGGAGTTTCGGCAGCTGGGAAGGGGACCACAAGCACTCTTGGCTGTTTGGGAGGCAGTGTGGATTTGTGGGAGAAGTACATTAACTGAATGCTAAGATCATCAGAAGTGAAAGTCAAAAGGATTGACAATAATATTTGTCTCATTTTAAAGTTACCATTTCCAGAAGAGAACAACGGCATACAGTGAAATAGGAGCTACTGTTCGGCCTGCAGACTGGTGATTTCTCAAATCTTGCAGCAAAATGGTTTTTTCAGTGCAGCTTGATTAGTTTAAACCCAAAGTGTAGCTCCTATTTGCAATGATGTTATTTACAGAGGCTTAAGGCCAAATACTTGAGGAAAACCCTGCTGTTGCAGGGCACAGCTCTTGCTTGGTCTGTGTGTGCTGCGGAGGTTTGCATTGGTCTAGAACCAGTGACCACATCCTCAGTAACGTACAGCTGAGACAGATTTTGCTTCAGTTGCCACAGTTATTCTGCCTTTGGATATTTGCTCTCCTGTGCAAATCCTAGAAACTACTGCTCTGCTTCTTTGTTGCCCATTAAACCTTGCAACCAGCCAGTGCGTGAGCATGGTTTAAGGGAAGGAGGGGAGTGAAGCTGGGGCTGGGAAGGCAGAGCAGGTTTAGTTATCAGCTGCTGTGAAAGGGATGGGGCCTGGACAGATAAGGTACCTCTCACTAGCATTTTCATCTGGATGAGAAAAACAGTTGTCCTGGTTGCGCCAGATAATTGCAGTTTGATGAGGCGCAGGGTGTGGCCAACTGGTCTCCCCTTGGGGGCATGCTGGGAGAGAAGATCCCCATGAGAACCTAAGGTTCTCCAACTTGTGGTGGATGCTCAGGCTGTGGCTCTGAGTGAGAACCATCTGCAAGTAAAACCTACTGCAAACTGACCAGTGTTGCTTCTATGCTTCTTTATTTTGCTGACGTAGATATAGCCTCTACGTCTGTGTCACAGTCAAAACACTCTAGTATCGCTTATTTGTCAAGATCATAAAGATTAAGTTAATTTATATTTCAAAGGGGCCCTCCGAAGGAACTGTCTTTGTCATGATGTGATTACCAGGAAGGCCAAAGTCTTTAGTCTCTGCCCTGTGACTTCTTGAGGACGTGAGGCTGCCTCTCTGCTGAGAACAGACTCATTCCTTTTCTCTCAAGTTTCCTTATTTAATATCCTTGCCTTGAGTCTGGTCTATGCTAATTTGTTACTAACTGGTGAGGATTAATGCAGAGGAAATATAAAGCTGTGAGGTTACAAGACAGTCCTGGGCTTGGTTATCAGAAGCCACTGTAACCTTTCATTCTCCCCAGTCAGTGTTGCCACAGCTGTGATTTCCAAGGTGAGACGTGGACTTCCAGGAGATCTGAAGGCTCAGCAGTAATCAAAAAGATCTGCACTCCCTATTTATTGTGCTGTAATTACTTTATTTAGATCCATTTTGTTTTATTGATCTTTGGTTCCTCCTTGTCAGCTTAGTTTTAATTCTTTCTTCCACATTTCCTTGTCTCAGGCTTTTGGAGGCAACTTGGAGGGCTTCCAGTCATCAGGGCCAAAGTCTCACTGGCACTGCCCTACTGGCATGTCCCTGGTGGAACTAAGCTGCAGGTTGCTGCATATCAAATGGGGATGATCCAGCTCAGGTGAATTCATGCTTTTCCAAGGTGAGTACTAATGCTCTCTGCCACTTCTTGGGACTCTCTGTGATGTCCTGGACACTCACCATTATTTAAGATCCTACATAACTTTTCACATTGTTAGCACCATTAGCTACTATTAGGCGATCATACATTTAATTCTCTGAGCTTTACATTATCTCTTTGATTTAATGTAGATAAACTGTTGTTTTTTTAAGCTGCTAAATATTATTAGAGTCTGACTCTCCCAGCCTGTGCCAGTGATGGGCAAATTGAATCCTATTTTATGTGTAATTTCTCAATCAGAGAACAAAGTGCTTTGGCAATCTGGATCAAAGGCACAAGTCATTATTATTGTTGGAATAGTGAAGTGAGCTCCTGGAAAAATCGTGCTGACTTCTTCTTTGTAGGATGCCTGCACTGTGGAGCCTTTGATGTCTAATGGTCTGGCACCATAACTTGTGTAGATATAGCATTGCCTGTAAACAGAAAGAGGTAACGAATGAGTAGATCATTATTTATTACTTTTAAGACTTCAGAACACAACTCAGAAATCCCATGTGCATGAAGCAATCCATATAAGACAAAAGATATTAGAAAGAGAGTGATGAGTGAGCCTTTCATTTGATCTAGCAGGGCCATTCCATTTTTTAATTTTATTTTTTTTTTCAAATTCTTCATCCTATTTTAGATGGACGTTCCATCAGGAAGATGAGGTATTCTCACTCTACATCTTTAAAACTGGTGTTGTTGGAAGATCAGTGTTGTTCTTTGTGTTGTTTTTCCTGAACTCTGTGCTCCCCAAACTACTGTGAAAGCAATGAATATATTCCCATGGCAACAGAAGCACAGAGCCTGGGAACTGATCTCAGCAGGGCTCCTCCTCTGGCAATCCCCAGCTGGTGTAAATCGAGCATTTCTCGTGCTGGCACAGGTAGATGCTGAGGAAGGCATCATTTTGGGTTTGAGTTTCAGGAAGCAGTATACACAGTCCTAATGAGCCATATCTCATTCTGTCTCTAATTTGCTAAGTCTGTAAAATTGTAAGTGCTGTAAAATAGATGGAAGGGGGAGAGTGGCGAGGAATGCTTTTGTGTTTTCTTCATCTACCTGTACATGGGGAAAACCCAGGACCAGAATGACATGGGTGCAGCATGCAGGTTGAACAGCCTGCAGCCAGACTCATCTTGTGAGCAGTGTCATGATGCTGGTGGAAAACTTCGCATAAAGGAGAAAGCCAGCTCAGGAGCAGGGCCAGGGGAAAGCCCCTGGTTGCTTGCAAGAGCCACTTAGCCTGGAGTGACAAAGCATGTTGGATCTCATTCTTGTCTCGTTGCCTGTGGGGTAGAGGCTGTGTTTGGGCAGTCCTCCAGCTAGTGCATGTGCAATGGGGGCCCACTTGCTGCAGCCCCATGGGGTGGGGGCTTGCACCTGCAGAAGGGTGCCAGCAGCAAAAACCCACTGTATTATCCCTATTGTTAGCTTTGCTTCCCTAACCTTTGTTCAGTGTCTGTTTCATTCTGGAAGCACATTAAGCCCCTCCATCAGTAGAGGTTTGCTAGGAAGATGATGGATTCCCATGGAACTGAGATCCAGGTATAGCCAGAGAGTACAACCAGAACACCTCTAACCAAGTCCTGCCACCTTTCTCCTCCTCTGTGGCAGCTTACACTGTGCTCATCAGGAGAGGGGAAGCTGGTGGAGAAAATGTTGGGAAACTTCTAGAGGTGCTAATTAAGCAACTTTAGGTTATAAACATCTTTAATTGGACTAATTTTTGGTGTCACATATTGCCTCTTGATGAGAAGAGTCCTAAAATTAAAGCTGTTTTAATCTGTCTCCTGTTCCTTCTCTCTTCTGTTTGTCTTTTTGGTTGCAAAGAAGAAAAAAAAAATCACTGACACTTCTTGGGCTTTAGTGAATACTGCTATTTTTAAGGCGTTAAATTTGATTTACTTCAAATCTGACCCAGAACTCCATGCTGAGACCAGACTGCCTTTATCAGTGCTGTAGCTAGCTTTCCATTTTTGCATGCAGATTTTTAAAAACAGACAAAAATCAGGCTGGTAAAAGATGCTAGCTCACCCCCACCTTAACTAGTAGTGTTCTTCATTTTAACCTTTGACCAGGGATCCTGAAGTACATCACTGTCTTCTTGTGACAAATGGAATGTCATCCTCCTTTCTTCTTCTTTCTTTTTCTTTTTTAGTAAATGTTTCTTAAATGACAGAGTTGGTCTTGTATTGAATTACAAGATCCAAGCACCACCCATTTTCCCTTTGTGGCTCTTCATCACTGTCATGGGCCAGCTGATATTTTCCAGCCTCTATGGGAGCTGGCGTTGCAGTCCACACCAGGCAGGTCATGGCCTGCTCTGCCCAGGGAATCACTAAATATGTCAGATTTCAGAATTCCCTGTTTGAACTGGTTAGAAATTCAGGAGTACCTGCTGGTGTATCTCTTGTGCAAGATCAGTTTTAAATCCATGCCTCAAAATTAGTGGCTCTCTGATGGCACAGAACTGCACGAACATGGGGGCCAAGTGAAGGAAGGAGCATTGATAGATGCGTGAGAAGTTCTCAAGTTCAGGAGTTTTCAAGGATGGTGGAAAGGTGCAGCTTTGGGACTACAAGAAAGGAGAAACAATAGCAAGGTATCTTCTCCCTTGTAGAGGCTGTCCCCTCACTTTGTCCCTACTCTGCTGATTTTTCCATGGCTCCTTGCCAGCCTCAGTGCAGGCAGAGAGTGCCAGCCTGTGGCCTCCTGCGTGCCCCTCCTGCCTCCCTAGTAGCGGGCTCTGCTCCCCCTGCCAAAGGGTCAACACTTTCTCAACTCAGCTGGGTGTTTCATAGCTTGCACAACTCTCATTTGCTTGAGAATTTTTCTGAGGGGGTACGGTGCCAAGAGTTGCACTGTAGAGGTTGTATTTCACTTCCACAAGGCTGCTTGCCATTTTCACAGTATCTCACACCATCATGGGGCATACTGTAGGTAATAGAAACCTTCAGTTTTCATGGATGGTTCATGGTATGGTTTGCTTTGCAAGCCCTGCTCACAGGAAGCAGAGCCTGCAGCCTCTCCACACGCATAAGGGAATGCATCTCCTTGTGGCAGACAATTTGCTATGAAATCTCCTGGAACTGCTCCAGCTCTGTATGCTCTGCAGAAAGCCCATGCTTGGGTAGCTTTGTACTGGGCCTGCTCCCCCCAGCTTGCTGTGCCTCCTGGGCTGCAGCCAGGAGGAGAGGTAGCCCCTCTAAGAGAGCTGCTCCAAAATGGCTGCCTGAGTGTGGCCCGGCCCTCCGGCGGCAGTCCAGCCCCTACAGCAGAGCTTGGGCCTTGTGAGCCTGCAGGGAAACATCGCCTAAATCTGGGGGGAAATCCTGAAAAGCCCTTTGTGGGGAGTGTATTTTTGCAACAGCCTGTTTCCTCCTTTTCTCTCCTTCCTTTCCCCACCGCTTTGTCTGCTAAATAAAACAACCTACATTTTTGACCTGAATTACTTTAAGTGTCCCTGAAGGCATGTACAGCTACTAGGACTGTGGAAAGGTTTTCTTCTCTAGTGCGGTTAGATAGCTCTGTTAGAGACAGGTCTCAAGCTCGATCCCCCAATATGAGTGCTGTATTTATGTTTTGGCGTACAGAAAATCAGCGTTTGCATTTTTATAGCACTGTCTATAGCAGACAAGCCTGGGCTGCTTTATGAACAGGCACTGATCCTGTAGAGAAAATCTCTCCCCATTTCAGCAGGTGATACCCAGGGAAAGCTGCAACCCAAGTCCTTGCCTCTGCCCTCACCTCTCTGCTGCTGGGGCTTGGGGTGCCAGGCCCCACACCCCTCAGGAACAATCTGTCAGCCCTGAGAGTGCTCCCACTCTTACTGCACGTTCCGAGTGAGGAGTTTTTGAAAGGACAATGAAATTGCTCATTTTGGCCTGTTTTAGCACCCTCTCCTATAACACGCATGGCAGGCCTGGCTGAATTAAACCAGCCATACTAATTTCTCTTGTTAGAACAGCCCTGTGTAATGCACAAAATGCTTGGCTTTGGAGGATGATATTACAAAGAAGGACACTGTAATTTAGTGGCTCATTTAATGTGAACCAAGAGAAATATGAGGCATGCCAATGCCGCATTGGGGCTCTATTTATATCCTTTTTGGTGTACGGTATGATTTATAATAAAGGATCATTTTTATATAGTATTAGCGTGGTAATGGAGCTTACTAGGTTGCCATGTCTGAAGTTAGGAAATATTGTATTAGAATAAGCTCAGTTAACACAGCGTAAGAATAGCCCTTTCTCCAGTATTAAATCACGATTCCAAGCTTCTTAAAATAAATATTAATGCGCTCGGTTTACCTAGGACGCTGGGCTTTTATGAATGCAGCACCAGGACCTTCATGTCTGAGCTCAGAAGATGTTAACTGCAACCTCATTTGGCAGTTGCCAGCCTCTGCACTCAGCACCTCTGGTGATTTTGCTCACCCGAAGCACTGTCCATGGGAGGCCCAGGAAGAGGGAAAGGAGCAGAAAGCTGGTGAGCATGCTATGACAGACTGAGGGGAGCATTTCCCACCTCCAGCCCGAAGTGCACAGCCAGCAGTGGGGTGCTGCTCTGAGCTGGGGCGTGAGGATGCGGGAACAGAGGGGATGCTGACAGGAAGGAGGAGGAAGGAGCAGTGTTTACTCCTAGGAGCTCTTCTGAAGGCCACACAGCGAGCGAACAGTGGAGCCAGGATTAGAGCGGAGCCACCCCTGGCATCTTGCCCTCAGAGTGATTCAGAGCTTGTTTCCAAAGCTAGAGAGCTGGTTGAAGTTTCATTTGTCTATCTAGACAGCAGCGTGTTCTGCTTCCCATTTAAAGCTCTGGAGCCTTCTGGTGATTCAGAGTGCAGGCAGCAGTCCCCCTGCATGCTGGTTCTGGTGCCAGCCAGCACAGTGCCTGTGAGTCTTCAGTGCTGTCATGCAGATAGCAAAGGCATCAAAGTGGGTCTAGAGAGAAGGTGGGAAATAATCAGCTGGAGGATTCTGAGGATATGGGAAACTGTCCCTTCCGCTTAAAGCTGTGGTGTGAGATGGCAAAATGTGAAGGTGCAGGAGAAGGGCCGGTGGCAACCCTGCCATCCTAGTCTGGCATGAAGGAATGGCAACCACAAGCAGACCTCCTCTGTTGCCATCCATAGCAGCACATGCCCCAGCCCAGTCTCCCTCCTGCTCCATCCAATGCCGCTCCCTGTCCCCAGTGCATGCTGCTTTGCTGGAGGGGGCACCCCTCTGATTGCTCTCAGGGCCCCCTGGGGACATGGCCGTTGTTGCCAGCTGGGAAGGTGACACACAGGAGCTGACAAAGCCAGAGCTGACTCTGCTTCCCCCTGAGCCAACCTCAGTGAAATTGCCCAGCCACTTTGAATAGAAATGAATTGAGTAGCCTGGCAGTAACTCAGACCATATTTTATTAACTTGGACAGAACTGAGTAACGTTAATCCCCCTCCCTGAAATTTCTTATTTTACAGCCAGGTTCTAATATATTAAAATGTGCTGGCAAAGCTTTTGGTAGGTTACAATCCACTTGTCACCAAACAACACACAACCCAGCATTACCACTTAGGTAGGGGCTGAGAAGCAGTGAGAGGTCAGGTGAGTTTCTGCAGCATTCCACACACCTGGCCAGAGCACCAAGGAGTGGGGGGCTGCTGTACCACCTGCAGCTTGTGATGTAACCTCAGAAAAGTCACCAACAACGTGCCCTGCATGATTTTCTGTGTGACTGATGCCTGGCTATCCCAGGGTGGTGCAGGCTGGCTCTGGCCCTGGGGGGCATCACTCTGCAGGGGTGCTGTTGAGAGATAAGTCTTTTCTTAGAATCATGGGGTCGTTAAGGTTAGAAAAGACCTCTCCGATCATCTAGTCAAACTGTCAACACTTTACCACCATATCCACTAAACTAAACTTTGTCTTAGCTCAGCAAAATGCCTAAAGAAGTCTGTGACTTACTCTGAGCCTCAGTTTCTCTACAAAACTGGGGACATCCTTCTGGACCGCTAGGTATTAGGCCTCCACTCCCATCAGAAACCAGAACAGGCTCTGTGTTCTAGGCTGAAGCCTTAGCAAGAAATACAACTGCTCTGCCTTTCCTGTTTATTAGCAATAATAATCCTAATAATACTTTGCACATCAGTAAGAGCTTCCATCTGAGGAAATTAAAGCACTTTGCAGTCATTAATGATTTAAGATGCTTAGCCCATCTCTGAGATAAGTAGGGAAAATCATCCTCATTTTTACAAATGGGAAACTCAAGTGAACTGTAGTCGAGTAGCTATGCAGGAAGGTAGCGAGGAGGCAGGTGAGAGCCCCATCCCTGTGGCTTCCAGGCCCATCATGCTCCATGTGGCTGAGCCACCCATGGAGCTGCCAAAAGTTGCACTGAGAGAGGAGGATGGGACAGGGTGGGTGCCCATGGCCCTGTCTGCTTCCTTGGGCTGGCTGCAGGCACTGTCGCCATTGGCCTTTCAGGGCGGTTACAGGGAGAAGAAATCCTGTTATAAATAGTCAGCTGAACTCCAGCTCTCTGGGCAGTGAACTTTTTGTACATAGCTGCCTTGTAAAATGAAACTACCCCGTGCCTCCCTTGGTGGAAAAAGAAAGCGAGCTGGGACCACACCTCTCCTGTTCTGTGTGTAAATCTGCCCATCGGGACCTGGCAGCACTTGCCTATTTAAATGAAATACTCATTATAGACATGGGACTGCTGGGTGGTTGCTCGTTAACCGTTTGGGGCACAGCTTGAAATAGCACGGCTTGGCCTGGGCC